CCTTCATTGCAGGAAGTAACAATCAAACCAAAATGTTTTAACAGGAGTTTTCTGTCCCAAAAGGCAGCATGGCACATTCTTAATGAGGAGTGGGCAGTTGGGATACTTGATAGAGCTAAACTCTTTTGTATTATACATTTCCTTGTGCCCTTTTTTGTGTGGTGACACATGTGGATGAAAAAATATGGTGTTTCATGTGTTGGTCAGAAATAAAGTGTGTTACTCTATGGACACTTTTAAAGAAAGTGAAAAGAACTGCACTCTGATGGTGGTAAGACCCAGGAGATCCATTGGAGTTTTACAGCTGTTTGCTCTGCTTCTGTCTCTTTATCTGTATTTTTCACTTCAGAACCACTTTGCTAAACACATGGAAAAAAGAAAGCAACACTTGAATTGAACACATTTTGATACAGCTTTAAATGCAAGCATGTTTTGAAGTGTCTAAACCTAGTAACCCCACAGCACTGTTTGTAGCAGTCTGTCCAGGAGATTTCTCTCAGAGGATTTAAAGGTATTAATGGTGGAATGTCTTACAATCCCAGTTCAAGAACTTAAGCCTTTAAGAAATTCTCCAGCCCTGCTGACATTGAAAAGGTTAACTATAAATGTTTGCTCTTTTGTTTAATGGCAGTGTCTGAGGCTGCTCAGCTCAGCAGGGACTGTGCTCAAAGCACATTTCAGGCCAGCCAGGCCCTGGGTTTGAGGCTTCTGCTGTGCCAGCAGAAATCTGCATCCAACATTAAGCAGAGGTGTTTTCCTCCTCTTGGAATTCATTAAATGTACTGTACAGAAGCACTTGTCTGTTCCCTCACCTCAGTTTGCTCAGAGTTAGGAATGCAAATGAACATTCCCAGACTTTGGGCTTTTCAATTACACCTTTTTCCAATTTCCTTTTTGATTTCTTGAATGATAAACACATTTTTAAATAGTTTCTTCTCCACATCAAGTTAATTCTAAACATTTACAGAAGGAAAGCAGGAATAGAAGCCTCTGTTTCCTCATACCTGTCAGCATTGTCTGACTGGAAAATAAGCAGACCTTTATGTGGTTAGGGGTTCTAAAAGGCTTTTATTAATGCTTCAAAGCAGATCCATTTGATAAATATACCTTATGTCATTCTGTTGTGCATTTGTGTGGAAATCAGAGTGAAGCAGGATGTTTTTATGGGTCTCAGCATCTGGTAACTGTTTGTAAATATTTGATTCATGCTTCTCTACCTCAAGCAGGTTTTGTTCTAGCAAGCACTGATGTGAAAGGTAGTGTTTGCATTCATCCATTGAATATGGGATTAGGGCAATATTCTAAAAAAAACAGGGAGAAATTCTTACTGTATTAGGTAAAAAAGAGAGCTGAGGAAAATGTTTGTAACAATACATTTTCAACTACATTTATTCTCCACAAACCAATTAAACAATTCTTCAGTTAACACAGCTGAAAACAACTGTGGGACATTTTGCAGGAGCTTTATTGCTCCTCGGATGGCTCTGGTGTACATTGTACATTCACATTTTCAGACTTCCCAGTGGGGTTGGTTGTTTATGACCAGCACCACTGATGTCTGTGGTTATGTGGCTGGCAGGATGTGAGCCTGGTGCCTGGAAGAAGCAGCAGGAGCAAATTGGTGGCATGAGGTGCAGTGGCAACCCCTTCCACAAACACCTGGATAGATTTTGACTTGTCTCACACTCTAATGGTGATGTGCTGTAGCTGAATCAGAAAAATCAACTGACAGGGAAAATGGGAATGGGTGATTCCTTCTGTGCTGGATCGTGGGATTTCTTTCACCTACTGACAGGGCTGCTGGACTTGCTATGAGGCTTTCCAAAATCTCTGAGGGAAGTGGCAAGCTAAAATTAACTTCAATCTAGTAGAATGTGCTGGATTGTGATAAACAGAGTCTTGTAATGAGCTGAGGAGGCAAAAGGAGCAATATTGTCTTCATCAGCATTGTGTGACATAGTGAGAATGTGGGGATTTACAACTGGGAAGCACCCGGGCCCCTTCAGAACCTGTGTTCCTCTCTGTGCTCCCTCTCTGCACTCAAAGCTGTGCCTTGTCCTGGTGGGGCTGGTTTGGGACACACTGCACATCTCCCACCCAAATCTGGGACAGGGCTTTGCAGAGCAGCCCACTGAGAGCTGCTGTGCAGCCCTGGGGCTGCCTGGGGAGCCAGCTCTGCTCTGAGATGCTGTCCTGGCAGCTTTTGGGGACAGATCCGGTGAAAGTGGACTGTTCTTAACCAGAGATATAAACCAAGCCAAGCCTGTGGACTGTGGATTCCTCATGGATTTCTGAGAAGCAGCACTGCAGCTGAGCTGGGGAGAGATATTAGTGAATATGTTTGCTGCTTCTGCTGTGCTCAACTTCTGTTACTGGTCATACTTTATTGCTTTTCTAGTCCAGTCTCATTTAGAGATGTATTGAAACAACTTTTCTCTTATGGCCAGGGAAACTGAAAGAATTACAGTCTGTAGCAGAACAAAAGGAGAAGCCAGTAATGCTGACAAAATAGAAATTCCACTGATTTTGTCAGTTGCTGGACGCTGACCTGTGGTAACACAAGTGTGGGATAAATGTGCCTCTTGCTGAGCTCTGAAAATACCCAGTCAAGCAGCAAGCACATGGTAAAAGTGGGTGAAAATAGGTCTGCACAAAGGCAGGCTGCTGCCCAACTGCCTTGTGCTCTGGTTCTTCCTCCAATGACTTCAAAAAGAAGTCACAGATATTGATTTTTTTTTTCATATTTAAAAATACCCCCAGCCTCTGACGGTCAACTGTGGCAATAGTTCCACCTCTAGAGTACATTTTGCTCATCCTGTTCCCTCCTTCCTTCTTCTGCTCCCCTGGGAACAGCAGTGCAGCCCTACCCAAGGAGTCATAGCAAGGAGAGAACTGTTTGGGAATAGCCACAAGATGCCAGAGCTTCTGGACAGTAACCCTTGAAAAAACCAGTCTCTTAATTTCTCTTTTATTGACATGAGGAGTCTTGGTCCAGGCATGTGAAGAGAAAAAATGTTTAATTTCTAACTAATGAGTTTCTTCTGTCACCATCACCTATTTAAGATCTGATGTCCCACTGCAAACAGAACATAGATTTTTGTCTTCTACTCAAGAGTTGGAAAGCTCTCATCTAAAACCCAAAAATCTATGTACTGTGAGTGAGTGGTCATTTTCCTCTTTTCTCACTCCTACCCAACTAATGTCAAACTCTTTCAGTGCTTTCCTGTAATCCCACTTCTTCTGTGTTATGCCTGGGACTGTGGTAAGATTCCTCCACCTCACATTGCCTACAAGCCTGTACAAGTTAATAACCTGCAGCTGTCAAATTGCAAAATAGAACAAAAGTCCAGCAGTTTCCCTGCTATTTAAAAAACCAAAACCAACAAGCCCCAGCAGAAGAAAAGACATATCTTCTGGTGTCAGCACCCTTCATACTCAAGAAAGGCAAACTCAGGAGAGGAAGTGATCAGTGTGTGTTGTTCTCTATCCTCTTCCATTGATTGTTACTATGTGGTTGACTTTAGAGTTGCTTTGACATCCCTGGGACTGGGCCAAAATGGAATTAATCAGAAAAGACTAGAACCATGCATAATGGGCTTCTTGTCAAACCCCTTTCTGCTAAACTCAGCAGAACCTGAGCATGACAGAGAACAGGGGGCTAAATGGGAAGGAAATTGCTAGCACAAATGTTTAATGTGTGGCTGCAAACAGCCTCCTCCTCCCTTTGGTGTAACTCAGACCATAAAGAATACTTGCATGTGCATCATCCAGCAGCATCTCAGCCTTGAGTGATGCTGGACTTGGGAAGTGTGGTGATAGAGCAATACTGTAAGTTGTAATTGCTCCATTTTTGTTTGAATAAAACCTATTGATCCAGGGAAAAGCATATGCCAAACCTCAAGAGGAAAGACGGAGTTGGCTTTAAATAATTCAGAACATTCAACACTTTCTTTTTCTCTTTCAAGTAATGGGGTCAAATTCATTCCTGATCTGCCTCCAATAATTTGAAGAGAATTAAACCATTACTATCATTTATTATTTGTGTGATTGGCACTGTGCAAGACACATCAGGAATGAATGTAGTCCATTATGTTTTTGGATATAAGTTCTGTCTTTGGATTCCAGTGCCTGAACTTAAGCACTCACTACACTATCACCTACAGAATAATGTTTTAGTATCCTGAGAAATAACCTTGGTATGTCCTCAGGGCTTAATTTTAAGGGACCTGAGCTTGCACTCGTAGGATGTAGATGAAAATTACAGTGACAGTCCCCTGACATTGTGAAAACTATTTTCTGGAGCAATTTTTGATCAACAGAGGATTTCTTAATTATCTTCTTCTTTAGCAAGTCATGCTGCAGCACATCAGCATATGCTGAGGTTGGTTGGTCAAAGGGTATTGCTGGCTATTTTCCCTTTCTACCTTTTATGCCCTCTCATGAATATGGAGAATCTAATAGGTTTTGGTATTATGGACATGTCTGTCCTTAATAAAAGACTTGCTGCAGTCTGCAAATCTGATACCATCCATTGCAGTCCTCTGCAGTACATTGAATCCCAGCAGAAACCTCACTGCCCCATGTCCCCTCACATTTCTACACCCTCAGGCAGATAATATTCAGTGCAGGAGTTTGAGTTTCCTCACCTTATCAGGTAAACAAACAATGTATTTTCTGGATTTTTGATGTTGGTTTTTTTTTATCCTATGCCCAAAATGTTGATGAATGTATGAAATAACTTTCCATCAGTTTGCAGCATTAAAAGTTGTTCCACAGAGATCATCTCTAGCCACAGGTTTTGGCGTGCAGACAAGTTTATTGCACAGACACTCCCTGTGTGCCCATTTCAAAGTTTCTTTCGATTTTTAGGAAGATTTGGCAATTCACAAAAATTGACTATAATCCATATAGGTTTTTCTGACAAAATTAGCCAGATGCAGATGCTTTTGAGAATGTTTTACTGCCACTAACAGCATTGTCCTGGGCTTTTGTTTCTACAGCCAAAACACCCCAATCCGGACTGGCGCTACTCTGCATCCCTGAGGGCAGGAATGCAAAGGTATGTGTGGTGTTTCTCCAGAGAGGGGAAATTTATCCTTTCCTCTGTGAAAAGGATGGAGTTTCCTCTGATGCCACAGACTGATGATATCTGTGCTGAGATGGAAAGCACCTGAGTTCTGCTGCTGTCACTTCCAATCTCCACATGCTACAGATTCCATCTGACTTGCATCTTATGCTGCTGTTGCACTGCTGTGGAGCTGTGCTGTTCTTTCTTTTTACCTTCTGCTTTTGTATCCATCGACTGTCAAGGCATAATTGTTCCAATTATTGAATCATTTAATTGTCATTATATGTTTTTTGTTTATTTTAAAGCTCCCTGTAATCATCAGTGCTGATGTTTCAATAGTCAGTCTGCATTTCCATCTTCTTGTTTCTCATTACCATAAAAGTAGCTGCTCCTGCAGCAGGTTTATTAACCACATGGTGCAATCAAGAAGATTAATACAGTTGAAAGGACTTTTTGAAGATATAAGATGGATTTTCAAAGAAGGAAAAGTGAGGCTTTTGTCCAAATCTCTTTAGACATCTTTGAAAATCTGCTGCCTAATACTGCAAGCAGTCTCTGCTATAATTTTCTACTCAGTACGCTTGGATAAAGAGAATTATACTAAAATTGCATCTATAGAGCCTAAATCAAACAGTATTTTTACTCTCCCTGAGCAGCCTAGAAAATTGGTTCTATGTTCAGGTGTAATCTGATGTGATTAATAAGATTCCTGTACAGGTGTAGAGGCAGTTCTGAGGTTGCAGTCATTCCTAGTGGCATCACAAAGTGCAGGATTGTAGGGGTTTCTCAGAATTGTTGGTGCAGTGGTGCTGTACCTTTATCCAAGAGTTTTTATGAGGCTGAAGTCCTAAATTCAGAGTCACACTGTGCTTCATGTGAGTGAGGACACAATGACTCCCAACTGACTTTGAGATGCTGTGTAAAAAGGAATCTAAACCTCAAGGACTAAAAGCAACGGAAGACAGAGGAAGCTCAACTTTGTGGCCTCCTGGGCAAGCTGTTTTCTCTCTTTTATATTCCTACTGTGACTTTCAATTATTTTGTAATCCATAACTGCAAAATCAGTGAACACTCTGGGGAGCAGGATCCTGAAGAAGGAATTCTGCCTACCTGAGCACTTTATCTGCTGGTCCTGAGTCAGGCATGCTCTTTTGGATCCACATTCTTTTCTATACAAAGTACAAGTTGTTATCTGAAGCTACTTGAACAATTAATGAAAAGTAAGAGCTTTTTTTAATCCCACAAGACTAATGGGGCCCTTCTGGGAAATTGTACACGTTCCTCTGCTCAGCCCCTGTCCTTACCTGAAATCTCAGGTTCTGAGCCTGTGTGCCCTGCCCAGTTGCTGGTTTTCATTAAATGCTGATTTTTCATAAAACTTGTAGAAATTTGGTACCCTTAATATCTGCCACATTTGGATGAAACTGGCCCTTAAGTTCAGCTGGAAGTGTGAAAGGGTGTGTGAAGCCAGTGAGCAGAGGCAGGGACACAGTCACAGAATCCTGTTTCTCTTAAGGAACAGCATATAAACATCATGCTTGGTTTTGTATTAAAACTAGAAGGTTTTTTCTTTTCCTTCCATGTAAGGTGCAAATTGGTGCTTTTGATGCCCAGTGCTCATGATGTGACACTGTAAAATTTGCTGTATTAGTTTTTGCATTTGAGAAAATGCATTTCTCTTCTGGAATTGCTCATGAGAAATGTGCAGTAACCCAGGAAGGTGGGATTTGTTAAAATGGCATGATGACAGAAGCTCAGAACTAAATCCAACTTTTTAATTATTTGCCTAATGTTGCTACATCCTAATAGCAAAGATGTGTCACTTCCTTGTTAGTGACTCCCAGTCAATGAGAGCAAAGTGTCCTGCAGGTGTGTTTGTTTTGTGAATTGTTCCACGACTGGGTTTTAATAAATAATCAAAGGTATTTTTTGCAAGTCAAAACAGCTGCTTCTCATGCTGCCAACATCCTGCAATGCTGTAGGAGTAGCTGCACAGTGAGAAATAGCTGTGAATTTTAAAAAGTAGCAGGGAAGGGAAATGCTGTGAAGTGCAGGGCAGAAAGGAGCTGTATAACCCAACTGTGATATTTGCTTACCCAGTGCTGTGCATATGGAGGAGGCAGGAGTCCTGCGTGGAGGAGCTGCAGGGCCTGATCAGCAGTGGCCAACAGTCTCCAGTGCTACAGCAGGTAAGGATGTGAGAATCCAGAGTATCTGTGATGATCTGATGCTAACTGCAGTAGACCTCCTAATGCTGCTATTTACATTTTCCTCTGTTTTATACCCCTGAGGGAAGACCCTCAGATGAGCTCAGAGCATGGTGCTAAGAACCCCAAAGTTGTGGGTTCAGTCCCTGTATGAGAAATGAGCCATTCCCTTTGGAGTAGTACTTGATGATCCTTGTGGGTCCCTTCCAACTCAGAATATTCTGTGATCTGGATATAAAGTTCTTGTAAATTATTCTGTGGAATCGAAATAGAGTGGAACAATAGAGCATAAAATACATCTTTTTCTTTGCTCAGTCTCAGATGAGCGCTGGAGATAAGAGTCCCTGATCCCAGCTTTCACCCTGCTTTTGGAGGTTACTGGTTTGTGTAATGGGATAATGGAATAATGCTTCAGTTCTGATGTGTGCATTCAGGTGTATGTATTCAGGGCTGGTGTGCCCTCCATTTCAAAAGAACTGTAAAACTGGGCTAGGAGCTTATCAATTTTCCCTTTGTTATTTTTACAAAGCCAGTAAGTCTCTTTGAATGTCTCTTCTCATTTTAGTTTTCTATGGTGAAATCAGACCTAAATTTTTTCTAGCTATTTTCATTCACTAATACATGATGATGGAAACTGTTATTTGTCAAAATAAAATTACAAAAAGCATGGTTTAGAACGTAGCTTCATTTTCCCTGTCACTGACTGATGACTTCACAGCAGTGAAGAAGAACTGGCAGAAGGTTCTCATGGAGTTTAGGAAAAAAACCCATCTGGATGTTTCGCAGTGCAGACAAAAAAATATATTCTTACTTTTGATTTTGGAGCAGGAATAATATAGTGACACAGAGGAGCAGTCAGTCACTGTTTTCAGCCAGTACAAACTAAAGTGCAAACTCAGTGGATGCCCTGTGTAGGGTGGTGAGCCCTGCATGGCAACTCTGTGAGCACTCAGTCAGGAATGGACTTGAGGAGTGATGCCCATATCACAGAGGCAGCTCAAATGCTGGGCAGTGGGGACTCCAGCAGCAAAAATTATAATTACTTAATTTAACCTTTTTGATGCAAACCTTTCTTTCTATTTAAATGTGAATTTCACCTGGATAAAGGGCTGAGGAACAACCTGAGGGTTTGCAATCAAGTTACAACATCCACAAATTAATGGTGCCCTGCAAAACCTGCACTGGTCTTGCAGAAGAGCTGTTTGCAGAAACAGATTTGGGAATTAATTTGATATATCAAATTAATTCCCAAATCTGTTTCTGCAAACATGAGTGATCAGCTGGGGTTTGTGTGCCCTTCCTTCTGCTGCAGGCTTTGCAGGAGCACACAGCCTTTGCAGAATATGAAGGGGGTGTGACTGTTGAGCTTGCATTTGAAAATGTCACCACAAGAACACTCCAACCTTTGCAAAGGCTTCCCTCAGGCTTTTGGCTGCACTGATCATCCTTGACTGAGCACTCAGTGCTTTGCCAACATGGATATAAACATTCTCCCAGATGTTTTCATGCTGGTGCTGCCAATTTCCAAGCACCAGAATTTTAAGTGCAAAGGTACGATGGTTCTGTCATCTGAGGAGGTCCAGTGGCATTTGGGTCCCAGAGCCCTGTTCCCCTGTCTGGAGTCCTGCTTGCTGTTCTATTTTGGGTCTTCTCCTTTTAGACTTGCTTTGAGAACCTGAAGATCTCTTTTTCTGAGCAGCAGCAATCCTTGGCTCTTATTGCTGCTTCCTTCCATGACTTGTGAGGCACTTGTGTGATGAATGCATCCCAGCACAAAAAAGATTATTTTGTTTTGTCTTTGTCCTCTCCCAAGGGATTAGTGATGCTTATATTACATTCTTAGACTTTTTCTTTTTTTGTAGCAGGATTCAGATAATATTCTTCTCCTTTCTTTGTCACCAAAAGCTTTAGATGTCCCTGATCCTTATTAGCAAACAGGTGTTTCATGGAGCAATCTCAGGATTAAAGGTTGTGTCAGCTTTCGTAGCATCACTACACCACATATTTAGCAAATTACTACCACAGCTTTAGAATCCTGCCTAGTTTCCCACAGATATCTCTTTCTGTGCTTCTTTCCTTTTTTGGTTTAGGTTCAAGACCTGTAATAACAAGTCAAGTGTTAAATCAGTAAATCCTTAATTCCTAATATATAGCTGAACTCCAACATCTTCACATGTTTTTCAGCAAATATGTGTTACCCAAGCAAAATCTGATTTTTATTTGACTGACAGCATGCCTGTTGACTTCACTGAATATTTCATCCATGCAAAGAATGGTGAATCTGGATGTGGCATTTTTCAAATTGTGTTTGCATCTTCTTAGGCACAAGTCCAAACAGTTGTAGGTTTGCAGCTGAGAGATTTGTGGGTGAGGTGGGACAAGAAGGTTCAAACTCCCTCTGGCTTTGAGTTTAGCTCTCTGGGGCATCTTTTTAGTCCCCCACATGCTAGATAGTGAGATCAGGGAATGAAGACACATTGCTGGTTTCTGCTCTATGTCCTTTGGCAGGCTTGGCAATTCTATCAGACTTTAGATGACCACTAATGTAAGTGAATTCTGTTTTTTTGATAACTAACTCAGAATAAATGGAGCTTGATTGGCAAAAATGGTGAGAGCTCATAACAGAAACTAAGATGAACAGAAATTTTGCTCTAGACATAAAACACTGAAGATCTCTGAATAAATCAGACTTATGAATAATTCAGAGCTTAGAGTTAGTAGGCATTAGACAAATCTGTGTTTATCTCTGTGCTGCTGGTTCAAATCTACAAAACAGAAGTGGTGTAATGCAAATGCTTCAAAATGCATTTTTGCTAGACAAAAACAGTCTAAAGATGCTTTCACAGAACATGTAAGATTCAGGATTAAAATTAGGATTTGTGATGAAAAAGAGTCATGAGAAATTTCAAATCCTGTGTCGTAAATAAGGCACTGGGCCACACATCATATGTAGAGAAGGGAAAAGAAAATACTTCTATTCAGACAGCTCTGTAAAAGAGGAAAGGATCTCATAATAAAATCTGCATCTGAAATATGTAAGAGTGTAGGTGAAGCTGTGGGTGAAATACTGGCATCTCTGAAATCCATGTCAAATAGCCCATGGACTTTCAGGAAATTAGGATTTCAGTGTCTACCCTTATAAATATGCACAAGAGACAGAATTAGGATTGCCTAGGCAAATGCCATTCTAAAATACACTCATTTTGTACTTCTGATTTTGCTGTGGCAACATTCTTCTAAATACTTCTACTATTTATTTTCCTTTTCTCAGGGAATTAGCCAGGGAGGAGAGGTGGTAATGCTGTTTTTTAAAGCTCCAATAGGTCAATGCCCTTCCTGCTCTGAGGCCCCAGATTTGGATGCAATGCAATTATTTTAACCTGTCTGCACTGCCTGGGCTCTCCCAAGGAGAGCAGACAGAGCATCATGGAGTGACTGGGAGCACTGCAGGAAGAAATTCCTCCCTGGCAGGGTGGGCAGGCCCTGGCACAGGTGCCCGGAGCAGCTGGGGCTGCCCCTGGATCCCTGGCAGTGCCCAAGGCCAGGCTGGACAGGGCTTGGAGCAACCTGGGACAGTGAAAGGTGTCCCATGGCAGGCAGGTGGAACAAGAAGATAAATAAAGTCCCTTTATACAAAGCTTCTTGCATCTCATCACCTCAAATCTGAATCTTTCAGCACTTGTCCTCTGAGATTTGTGTGTCTCACAGCTTTCCTGGTTTTTATTCTGTTTTTCCTGATGTTTCTTAATTCCTGCCTGTGGCCTTCTCACATGTGCCATGCTAGCTAGGGATATTCCTTGTCCACATACCCCTAGACTGTCCTGGGCTTACACTGGGAACTACAGCTCCTCTGGGATCAGTTTGTGTTGCTCTCAGAGGAAGGTTCCTGCTGCAATCACCTGGAATGCAGACAAGGTCCGTTGATGGGGCATGATATGCAGAATAAGTTATGAATTCAGAAAATTAAATGTGAACCGACTGTAAATATGTTGAATAAGCAAAATTTCTTGAAAAGTGAAGTCAGTCATCCTAGTGAATTTTGTCCTGTTGGTTTGAGGTAGGGTGTTGTGAACAGAATGACTATGGGAAAACTGTGAAAAAAGGACAGGGGTTCTTGTGTGGATTTTAAGAAAAATGTCCAAGAATGCCTTGATAGGGAAAGAAATCATTATAATTATCCACTGTTAGTTGTGGCATTCCCAATTCTCTGTTTCACAGACTAATTTGAATGTCAAGCAAGTAAATCCAACCTCAATATGAACATTATATCTGAAAGAGATACTTCATTCCAATGCAACTGTGAGAAGGGCCCAGATGAGATTTGGGATGATAGTGCAAGGAGAAGAGATCTGAGCAGAGAAACCTAAGGGCATGAGAGGGAACACTATTGTTTAATGGGACCACAGTTGGTCTAAAACCAATTTCTTGCTCAGATAAACATCAGCCTCAGAGGTTGTGAGATTTAAGAGAGGAAGCAGTTGGCCATAGCTCAAAGTAGTCACAAGTTCTTCATTACAAGACAATATAGAACTTTCTAATCCAATGGACAGTTGCCATAAAGTTTATTTTGCTTTTCTAACCTATCACCTTTACTTAATTTTGCTGCACTGTGGATACTTTTATTCAATAGGCTGCTATCTATGCTTCTGTTACAACATCTAAACTCTTAGCTTACTCTACAGAACCACACCCCTACATTAGAAACCCTTCACCATCTTATTAATTTCTTAAGGCACATTCTTACTTACAACTATAGGAACATAAGTTTATGATTTTTCTGCTTAATATCTGTGTATTTTATTTTTACATCAATCCAAGTTTCTCCCAAGGCTGCAGATCAAACCCTTCAGTGTCTGTGGGAGTTTCTATCTTTCCATTTCTCACATCACAGCAATAAAAATCTGGTATAGAAAGATGAGCACAGGGGATCTGGTAGAGTTGGAAGAGATGCTAGAAGGTCTGCAGGAGGCAGATAGCCTTGG